ATATGTTGCAATGGATAATGAGAATGTTCAAGAATTGACAAACATTTTTCTTGTACATATTTAACTACTTCATCAAATGACCAATGAGAATCAAGTTCAACACGATATGGTAATGTTGAAACAAACATTCCAATCATATTCACTAGTTCACTTCGATATCGATTAGTATTGATAGAAGAAATACATAGATCAGTCTCACTATGAGTTAATTTGAATAGAAACACATAAAATATGGATAATCCAAGTTGAAAAAGTGTGAGATGGTGTGATGATGCATAGTTTAGAAATGATGTGCATAAGTCATTATCAAAACTGATTTCAACTATGGATGCTACACCTGATCGTTGTTGATTAGTTGATGAGCGTCGACGATCAACTGGTAATGATAATGAACATTCGGTATTGTATCTTTCAAGTTGCGAATGCCAGAATTCTTGAGATAATGTCATATCCATGATATGTTCATGAATAGAATAATCTATATAATTCAGTGTATTTTCATCCATAGATAAAGAGTCATCAGATTGATAAGCAAGAGAAAGATCACGAAGAAAGATTGATGTTGATGCTCCATCAAACATTGCATGATGAATACTAATCAATATGTGATCATTTTCACTCAGCAGATCATCATTCTCATAAGGAGTACTGTCTTGAGATTGATGATAATGACGAAGAATATGACAACGAATAACACGTCCTTTTGATAAATCGAATAAATCAGATTGATTTAATATTCCTTTGACCATTTCAGTCATATGACTATGATCATCATTATGTCGATTAACGATTGTCAATCCATTGAATTTCATATCATCGTTGAGAATGATATTTGCATCTAAACAGTGTTGTATAATATTACCATTTTTATCATAAAGATAAAGTGCTGTTCGTAGAATATTATGTTTCGTGATAACACTTTGAAATGCATGATGTAATCGAGTGATTGATATATGATCATTCATAGATGATATACGATAAAGTAATGGAATAACATACATATTATTCCTGGTTGTTTTGTTGGATGAAAAACGAATTTGTTCATCTAAATAGATTCGTTCTTGTGCAAATGATACTCTAGCTAGAATAACATGTAATGAAGACCAAGCAGAGTTATCCAGAGTGTGTATGGTATTGATAGATTGTTGAATGAGTTGGGCATGATGAATGATTGTTGGATGTTGAAATAGATTAGAAATGGAAAGAGCATTTGTTTCTAAATGAAATTCAATCTTGTATCGATGAAATAGTTGCATGATAAGTAATGAATGACCACCAATAGTAAAGATATTTGTATCAGTTGAGATTTGATTCTGGTTGAATATGTCACACCAAATATGATGAATACCAATTTCAATATCATTTATTGGTAGTAATAGTTCTAAACTGTTCGCGAGATTTGTAAATGAGAAATGAGGTGAAGGAAGAAGTTTTCGATCTATTTTTCCATTTTGATTCAAAGGTAGTTTCTCAAGTATAATAAATATTGATGGAATCATATGTGGTGGAAGATGAGATTGACAATGTTCACGCAATTCCTGTTCAGTAATATCAGAACTTTGAACATATGCAGCTAAATAATCATCATTCCATTTCATGACAACACAAGCAGAGATAGATGTAATGTTAAGTAAACATCTTTCGATTTCACCAAGTTCGATTCGTTGTCCATGAAGTTTGATTTGATGATCTTTTCTTCCTTGATAATGAAGAAGACCATTGTGATCGATTGTAACAAGATCACCTGTTCGATAAAATAGTTGACCATCTATTTCAACAAGAGCTTTTGCACTCAAATCGTCACGGCCGAGATAACCAGCAAACACACCTACACCACCTATAAGCAGTTCTCCTTCTTCCTGAATCACAACAGGTTGCAAGAAGCTGTTTAGAACTAAACATATGTAACGAGGTAGTGGTTTGCCAATTGGAAGATCATACATGTGAGAGACTACATCAATTAAGTGACATGTAGTTCCAAGTGTGGCTTCCGCAGGACCATACAAATTCCAAATTCGACAAGATTCGGCAACAAACTGTATCAGTACTTTAATGAAAGTTGATGACACAGATTCACCTACGATGACAAATTAATCAGCATTTATTCTATTTCGCGTGCTCTTGCTCAACTTACCGACACAGCTAATATTTCTCATTAGTATCCATGGAGGAAGTCTATTTTGTTTGAGGAAGTCACATAAATGATCGAGATAACTCGGAACAGCCACCATATATGTTACTTGTTTGTCATGTAAAATATGGTTGATGTATTGAAAATCCATATTACCCTGTGGATGTAGCATGGCTATTGTCGCTCCGCAGATTAGAGATCCTACAATTTCCAGTATATGCGCGTCAAAGGTTGAACTAGCTATTTGAATTACAATGTCACTTTCGTGTAGTGTATTAATCTGAACCAAAGCTATTATTGAACTGATAAAATTCTGTTGACTTAGTTGAACCTAGAAGGAAACTTCCAGTGTTGAATATATATTATGTAAAAATATTTCTATCGTACCGATTTTGGAATTCCAGATGAACCACTAGTAAAAATAATATAGGCTATCTCATCACCTTTCATTATCACACTTGAAAGGCAATTATAATTAATGTCACTAACCATATTATTAACATTTAATATTGAATCAATATCTAGTGAAATAATAACATTATCGAATTTGGTCTTAGTTAAATGATGAACAAGAATAAGACGACTTTGCGTTTGTTGTGTGAGTGCATGCAGACGATGTTGTGGATCTCGAGATGACAATGGGCAATAAACTCCACGAGCCATTTCAATTCCCATAATACCAATCACCTAATTAAAATCAATCACAAGCTCTCATTAATTGTTACTCATCTTTATTAACTTACCATTGACAAACTTCGCTCAACACATTGACACACGATCTCACCTGGAAACACATGATATTCATTAAGAAGAGTTACAGATAAGACTTGTACATAATGTAAGAGTTCACAATATGTTAATGATTGTTCATCTAGCTCAACTGCTAGTTTTTGTGGATGTTTGATTACTTGATATACAAACTCATGATGGATACAAGTGACAGGAGATGTAAGTGATATTTGTGTATTATTCAATGATTGCATCAGATATTGTTCATTTGGTAATGCTAATGATAATTCATAGCTAGGTTTGTTTATTTGATCGTGAATAATAGCTGCAGATAATTGATTTAAGATGAAATGAAATCGTTGTGAAATCTTTTCTACTGTGTCTCTATTGAATAAACCAAGTGATGCATTGACTGTGCATGACAGTTGATCCATGTTCATATCATGATAAATAGAAAGAGAGAAGTATAGTGCACTTAGAATTTCATTATTATTACGGTTAAATGAAAAAGATGCTGGAATAAGTTGAGAATCACCAATCATTACTGTATTATTATTCTTGTATGATACAAATTCCAGAGATGTATCGAGAAATGCATGTTTAGAAATATGTGGATGGTGATCGAGAATACGTTGAAGTGGAAAATATGAATATTTCATACTATTTGTTGTTATCTCTTGAACATGTTCGAGTAATTGATGAAAAGACCAATGAGGATTTAATTGACATCGTAATGGAATAACATTCTCAAACAGTCCAATGATTGATTTGAGTTCATCTCTATATCGATTATTATTGATGTTCATACCGAGACATAAATCTGTTTGTCCATTAGTTAGTTTAAATAGAAAGATGAAATAAATAGCAAATGTGAGATGTTCACGTAATACGTTGTTTGATGATGCGAGCGTCAGAAAGTGATGTGATAGATCTTGACCAAAATCGAAAGAAATCGATGTTCCACGATCAGTTCGATGTTCATTTGCAAGACGATATCGATCAAATGGTAATGATAAAGGTTGATCTAGTTTACAATCATGAAGAGTGTCAAGCCAAAACATACTTGCACCAGTCATTGACATTTGTTGTTCAATAACAGCATCTACATGAGTAAAGAAAATAATATACTAGGCAAAAGAGAGAAGTAGAAGTACTAATTATATTTACAATCAAGATAACGAAGATTAGTGTTGTCATCATATAATAATTGACCTGTTGTATATGCCTGATTGAGATCATGAAGAAATATATTCATTGATGGAAAATCAAATTGAGCATGATGGAAATTGAAAATAAGTACATCTTTGTCAGAAAGTAGATCATTTGAAGATATTCGTATGTGGTAAACAAGATGACATCGAAAGACAAGACCTTGAGAAAGATCAAAAAGATGAGGATTGCGTTTCTCATCATGTAAAATTTCATTGAGTTGTTCCTCTGTTTCATAAGTGCTTTCAAAAAATGTAAAAAGTTGTCTACTGTTATCATTCATATCAATGATTCGTTGCATGACTATGTTCTTTTCCGCATCGAAGAGAAGTGATGTATGAAGTGATTGATGTTTTATGACAATTAGCTGAAGAGCATGATAAAGACGTTCTATTGATAAAGTATGACTATGGTGTAGATGATATACAAAGGGCATGTTGTATATTGGTTCTTGTAGTTTGTAAGGAGTGAAATGAATAGAACCATTATGCCATAGTTGAGTTTGTGAAAATGATGCTGGTGCTAGAATAATGAGGGATTATTAGATTATAATTGAAGAAAATAATGGTGAAATGATACCTCATATCAATGTTCATATTATTTTTCGTGCGATGACTATTGTAACGAGAGGGGGAAAGGCAGACTTTTAGACTTGAAATTACTTACGCTACTTTTAACTACTTCTCATTACTTCATACTACTTTAAATCCTTCAAAATCCTCAATAAGAGAACACTTGTGTTCTGTCATGAGAATATTACCTAAAGTGGAACAAAAATATTCTCCTATAAGAATGGTTTCTCGAAAACAGAACATTTATTCTGTTCTATGAACAGATTCCCATTACAGAACAAAAGTATCCTGTTTTGGGAAATTCATTCACATAACAGAGCATTGTGTTGTTTGTGGGAAATTATTGCCAAAATATGACATTACAAAGCGCTTTGACGTAATTTTCCTTACTTCATCATACTTTAGAGTTTAAAGTACTTTGATAGACTTGTCAATTACTTTCAGGTACTTTGAGCTACTTTCACATACTTTGAGCTGCTTCTCTCTATTTTTGCACTTTGATGTACTTTAAGTACAAAAGTCTGTCTTTTCCCTGTTGTTTTGTAACTAACATAATAATTGATTGGGAACAGTGGATTAGTATTATGATTATATTAATCAAAACTCACTTTAATACTTTTGTACTAGGATTTAATCATGTTTGGACACATTTTCGTTAATATTAGAAATACTTTAAGAGTTTGGTGTTAGTGTCGAAATTATTTGAGTATAGTACGAGTTTACTGAATCTGATAACAGCACAGAGCTGTTGACTTTTTACAAGGTGAACAGTCAAGCTGGAACAAAAATTTTGTTTTGTAATTTATCAGAATTTGTATAATATTAATACAAATTTAATACTAATTCCAAAATATTAACTTATTTTTTTCAAACACAAACGTTTTAAACGATGCATTTGTAGGAAATGTTGTTACTGATATGAAGTATTCACCAGCTTTTTTCTCAAATAGTATGTTAATCGTTTTCAGTCAGATATTTTCACATGACAACATTTTCTCTTTAGGGTTTACTAATTACAAAAGCTGACTTACAAGAATTAATTGAAAATATAAGTGTCAAACTGAAGAAAAAAATACTTCCTCTGCCAAAATAAATGTCGTAACTTTTTCTACTCACTCAGAATAAACCAGAAATAAAAAGGTATACTCGAAAAAGGAAAAATCATATTTATGTTATAAAAAACTTGTCTTACAAGGAAGTTTCACCAGCTTTGAAATCGCTTTTGAGCTAATATCTTATGCATAAGTAGATACTAGTGTGCCTAGTAAAGGCCTAAGAGGATAGCGGCCAATCGTTCTTTCTCTTCGAATTATAGTTAGTTTACTGAAAGTTTAGCCTATATCTTGATATAAAAATGAAAATCGAATGATCGCAGTTTGACCTGAATTCTTGTTCATGAATAGTACCAAATGTAGATAGCATCTCCTGAATATTTCAGTTCAATCGGACACTTCCTTCACGAGATAATAAGTTTTTAGAAAAAAAGAATTTTCTCATATCATTGGTAAAGTATGAGCACTTTCTCAAATAGATTATCACAGGAAAGAAGTGTCCGATTGAACTAAAATATTCAGGAGATGCTATCTACATTTGGTACTATTCATGAACAAGAATTCAGGTCAAACTGCGATCATTCGATTTTCATTTTTATATCAAGATATAGGCTAAACTTTCAGTAAACTAACTATAATTCGAAGAGAAAGAACGATTGGCCGCTATCCTCTTAGGCCTTTACTAGGCACACTAGTATCTACTTATGCATAAGATATTAGCTCAAAAGCGATTTCAAAGTTGGTGAACCTTCCACGTTAGCTGATTCCACTGTACAGTACCTTTATTGAAAATAGCATACTATTTTACTGCAGTATATTGTTTTTTAAGTTATTATTTAACTAGGAAATTATTTGATTGTGAGAAAATGAGGAATGAAATGAATGTCTGATAAAAAGATGAAATTGGATGTTGTGATATAAAATGGACTATACCTTTCACCGTGTGTCAAACTAATCCCTTTATTTCAAGAAAACGTATCTAACCGAGCGAATAAATCCAATGTATACAAAGATCTATCTGATTTGAAAGATGTGTATACTGTTTCAAAATTAGGATACGACGACTACACTATACCAACATTGTTTTGAAATTCCTATTTTATAAAACGCTTCTAAGTCGATATTAAACGATATTCCTTATTATTATTACTATTAATATAACATAAATCATCACTCACGTGATGCATTCAATTTGTATCGTCTTGTACACCCACACAATGATCTTTTGATACAAAAAACTATTCTATGAAAACTTGTATACTTGCGGAAGACCGAGTGACTCATCTAGTTTTCCTCATAATGCTTAAAAACTCGTATATATCTTTATCTTTTCCGTCTAGAATCAAAGAAAAAATAAATAATCATACCTTCATCGAAAATATTCTTCAGTCGATGGAACACTATCAATTTCATTTCTTCAGCTTCATCAGGAAGAATAAGAGAAATTTTGTTAATCGATGAGCTCATATTCATCACAAGAATGTTGCTTGATTGTGTTTGAAACAATTGCTCAAACATATACTCAAATCTTCGAGCCATTTGTGAAATAGTTGATTTTTCAAATAGATCACTTGAAGCAATGAAACTACATGATAACCTCTTATTATCTGATGATGAATTGTATGCAAATGTTAATGAGAAGTCAAATTTAGCTACTTGAGCTACTTGCTCTAATGACATTTGTTCTAAATTTGCATCATTCAAAATTAGATGTCCCATATCTTTAGACACAGTAATAAAATCAAACATTGTCTCGAGCAATGATACATTCGACTGACCTGATCGATTATCACCAAGGATATGTTGCAATGGATAATGAGAATGTTCAAGAATTGACAAACATTT